GAGGACGCTTGATTCCACGATAATCTGCCCCCAGCCAACAGCTTCTACGTAGCGTCTGGAGCATTTTACAATTACGCTTTCCTTTCTGTGCTCAGACCCGAGCCCTTCTCTGCGGCATGGCCTTTCACAGAGCAGTGGTACCACGCGCCTGCCTCACCACCGAACAGTGGTCTGACTTTGGGCAAACTCGAAGCTTCAGTTTCCTTATCCATAAGTGTGGATAACACATCGCACCTCTCCAGGATGTTGTGAGGACCAAACAAAATAATTTTGTGATTCCCACCTGACTGTCAGAGGTGGCCCCGGACAGAAGACCCTCAACATTTTTTGGCGTTGAGTAAGGCGTGTGCTATTGGAGAAGGCCCCACTCAGAGAATGTAGGTGAGGTAGCACCAACGCGGGTAGTGCAGTGACAGGATCTTCTCCCTCCTCCTTGTTGCTCATGGTCTCTGCTTCTTGTCCTCAGTGCTACAGCCAAGCCGTCCAGGGAAAGCGTCAGTGTGATTTGTAGGGGAATCCTTGCCGCTCCAAGGCTCACATATAACAGACGCCCTCCTGACGGAACTCGTGGATTGACTGACTGACTCTGTAAACACCTGCCAGATGCCCGCAGCCTCCCAACGATCACATCTGGCAGATGGCATGTCTGCTCCCAATGGTCGAGGGTTGAGTTGTACACTTAACAAGGACCTGCTGTGTGTGTTCCCAGACCTGTTTATGCCAGTGGGACATTTTACTGCAATTATATATTTACTTAAATGAGATGAAAATGTGCCCAAAACCTTGTAAGAACTGAGATGAATTCTTTGGAAAGACTAGAGGAAGGGTGATATTGAATTGAGGATAGATGGGACAACTTTTAAAGCTTGGCGGAAAATTCTAAAAAATCTAGGAGTCTGCTGTGCTCATATTGTTTTGCAAACACCTTCAAGTTCTTGCTGTACTTAAAAAAAGCAAAAAAAGGGGCGCCTGGGTGGCTCAGACTGTTGTGCGACTGACTCCACTCAGGTCATGGTCTCACAGATTGTGAGTTCGAGCTCCACGTCAGGCTCTGTGCTGACAGCTCAGAGCCCGGAGCCTGCTTCGGATTCTGTGCCTCCCTCTGTCTCTGCCGCTCTCCCGCTCATGTTCTGTCTCTCTCCTTCAAAAATAAACATTAAAAAAAAAAAAAGCAAAACCTGAAAGTCATGTAACGGATTTAAGGAAGACTGTGCTGAACTCATCTCTTAGTTGAAGAAAAAGCCTTGGCCCAACATCCAAAGATTGGGGAATGGGTGTACATTTCACTGTTGCAAGTTGAAATAAAACATTTACTGTACGTACGTCGGTTCCCTGCCTTAGAAAACATACATTTTTCAGTAGCCCAACAACCACAGGTGTTGATCCAGTTGAATGAGAGTATTTCCACTGGTTCCTTTCCTGGTTGGGACCTGCGAGGCAGCCCCGCTCTGGCCTCTTTCCTTCACTGTTCACAGCTCCCCCTTTGCATTCCATTCTTGAGGCCAGTCAGCAGAAAGAGGTAGAGAATCAGCTCTGTGTCCAGAGCCAGCTTCCATGCCAGCCCACTCGGAGTGGACGGAGCGAGTGTCGGTGGCATCTTATTGCTGGCTTATGCTGTTTGGAAGCCTTGCCCCGCCCCACACCCATAACAGTCTCCGGTGATGGACTGCAAGGTGTCCCTCAAAGCTCAGATGTTGGAGCCCTAATCCCCAGTGTGATGGTATTTGGACACGGGGTCTTTGGGAGGTAATTAGGGTTGATGAAGTCATAGGATCGGTGCCTTCACAAGAAGAGGAAGAGACATTGTTCGTGTTTCACCCCATGAGGACACGGTGAGAAGGTGGCAACTGCAAGCCAGGAAGAAGGCCCTCACCTGGAACAGGATTGTCCAGAACCTTGATCTCAGACTTCCACCCTCCAGAGCTACGTGAATGAATGCCTGTGGCTTAAGCCGCTCAGTCTGATATTTTGTGACAGCAGCCTGAGTAGACTAATGCTCCCAGGAGGGGAAACTAAAACCCAAGCAGGTTCTGCGAAGGTGAATAAAGAATGACACCGATTCTGCTGCTGCCCACGATGACAGTGATGAAGATGCTGGTGATGTCAAACCCCACGTGTCTGAGGACAGAGGATCCCCTGCCTTTCCCTCTCCGGACCTACACACTGTAACGCTCACCAGCTCGTTGGATTGCAGACCCACATGGGAGATCTCCATGTGTATAACAGGAAGTTTAAGTGACTTGCCTGAGGTCATACTGTTTTCAAAGACCTGTAACTCTAATCCTAGTCCGTGTCATTTTCTAACTGGCCAAAAATTCTCCCAAAGCCAACTTTAGATTCGTGGCTAAATGATGCCCATGATGGATGGTGTTTCTGTGTGTGATGCTCTCCAATTTTGATAGCATCTGAGACATGTTCCTATGTGACCCCCTGAAACAGAGATTGCTAGCTGTCTACCAAAAATCCTTTGTTCCTTTCCTCCTTGGTTACAGAACTCTGAACTCCTCTTGCAGCTAGGTGTGGCCCACGTGACTGCGTTCTGGCCAACAGGATGTAAGCAGCAGTGTATGGGACCTCCTAGGAAAGTCCATAAAGGTTCCTGATCTGGCTGGGAGGTGCCTCCCCTTTGTCTTGGACCTCTGTTCGCCATGCCTCTGTTTCTTCACACTGTCTGAAAGGTGGGAGGCCCTGGCAGCTATAAGGTGATAGGGAAGACAGAAACCGGAGCTAAGATAGTGGGTAGAAGTATGAAGAAGGGGTCTGGGCTCCTGATGACCTAGAGCCACTGCACCAAGGAACTGGGCATGTCGGGATGGTGTCGTCACTCACACAGCCCCACGGCCTAGATCTAAATCATGCAGGCAGGATGTTAAACTGGTGAGATTTGAATGGTGACCTCATTATACTCACAGGCTGCGGGGCTTAGGGACAAGTGACTCATGCTGATGGCAGAGTAGCCCAGGATGCCTCAGCCAGGAAAGGCCGCCTTACTTCAAGGGGGCCCTCGCTTTGACCTGGCTGTTCCGGTTCGGCTCACCTGCCGTTGCAAAATGCATACCATTGATTTATGTCTTGTTTCAGTTCAACTTCAAGGATGGAGTCTTCTGGAGAGCAAGGGTTAGGGGTTTTTTCAGGCTGGAAGAAGGAACACTTGTGGGAATGGGAACCCAGGATCATAATGGTGACAGGGAACAGAGATAGCTTGTCAGTTACATGCATTTTTCTGTGTTGGAACAAGATACAGGCTGGCTGAATCTGTTACAAAACAAGAGCATTTTCCCCCGAGCTTTTACTCAAATTTGAAACCACCAACTCCTATGTGATATTTTCCAGGTGAATGATTTTCTGCATTCCATCAACTTACTTCAGTTGTGGTTGTGTTTGATCTGCTGGTATTCGGGAAGAATCGCTACTGACACCCAGAATCCAATCAACACATTCGGTTTTGCAAAACAGACATTCAGAGAAACGTAACATTTTTAGAGCTGGAATAAAACTCACAGATCAGCTAATCCTGCCTCTCATTTCACAGATTAATGGAAGTGATTGCTGGAGGTCACGCAACTAATGAAGGTGAATTTAACAGCAGAACTCAGGCGACCCTACCTCATAAACACTTTATTCTGCAGTTTCACAGTTTGGGGTCCCATCGAATGGTCCAAATACACTATATAAGGGCTCAGGTTCTTTCCTTTTGCCCTATTTCTCTGGGAAAGAATTTGCAGACTGTTTCCTGGGGGTACCAGCAGTCAAATTGGACAGAAAAATAAACACAGATGCACCTAATGTTCTACCAGCGAAGACCAAAATCCATCCTGGAACGGACTGCCCCACTCTCTTTCACCCTCAGAGAACCAACATCATGTCAATGATCTGTTTTGATTTCTGGAACCGAGCAGCTTCCTCCCCACCCTGCCTCTTCCTCTTCCTCCTCTTCTCCCTCTTCCTCCTGCCTTGCCCTCCCTCCACTCCCTTCCTGTTCCTACATTACACTTGCAGTGGGATTTCTCTCTAAGACTGCCTTCCAGCCAAGCACTCGCCTGGCTTCTGAGCACATCAGCATTTTTCCCTTCCTCTCGCCTTCCTCTCTTCCCTCCTCCCTCTGGGCTTTTGTTTTCAAATGGCGGGCCCATCAAAATTAATGAACTCATTTATTTGCTCCGTATCAAACGCACACTGAAATTATTGTATTTCTAAATAGACCAATGGTGCTGGGTAGACACATTCTGATCTCCTAAGGGCTACCACCGCACCTCTTTGTTACCTTGGGAATGCTTATGAGAACAGGATCGTGGAAATGTGAGAGGCCTCTGACAAGACAGAAGGTTTTCTTGATCTATGCCTGCCCAGTCCCTTTATTTCCTATTTTGAACGTGTTTGGGGCTCTACACAAAAGTCAGCGACGAGGTCATACCGTGTGATCAGTATTCCAGGAGGCTGCCAAGGAAAAACCCGAGACACATTATTTTGCTGGCAGAGCAGGTGTTCTGCTTTGAGTTGTAACATAACCAGTGAGCAATAGCTCATGAAATGACCTTCTTTTCAATTTATTAAAGGGCAAGCATTTCTTGGAAATCCATATATTTTCACTAAGCTCTAAATCAAGACTGCATCTACCAGGGCCCTCTTAAAATCTCTTTCTCCAGTTTTGACTTTCATAGACTGGGGCACTAACCCATTCATTTCTTCCTTTCACTTGGAAGCCAAGCTTCTGTGTGTATTTCTTAATAGAGAGTGTGTGCCGTGGGCTGAATTTGCAGTGTCTGTCCTTCTCAGATGTGACAGCTGGGCTGAGCATGATCCTGGGTCTCCTTACATTCCAAGGCCATGAATAATTGCCTTTTTATCAGTCAAAGGAGGACAAAGTCAAGCGATGCTAGGGAGATGAACTTCAATCATTCCCACAGATGCACCCACAACCACCCCCTCCCCCACCCTACCTGGTCAGAAGCACGATCTCGGGACACACTTTAAATCTCTATGTTTACTTGTTCTCTGGGTCATCCCCTGACTCTTTCAGTCTGCAGTTTGTATTCCATGCTGATCTGCCTGGAAGCCACAAAATCCGAAAATGCAGGTGAATTGGATGGACCAGGACCAACCTTAGCCTTTTCCTCCACCACATTGTCTCTCTCCTCCTTTCCTTTGTGCACAGCAGCAACATCCCCTTCCACCACTGGGGGAGCAGGCATGCTCTGGGGATCTGTCAAAATTTCATAGGGCTCTCTAGGGTGGCTCCCGGAGGCAGGAATGAAAATATCCCAGGGGCTATGCTGCCCAAAGTTTCCTGGAGGAATAGAGACAAATAAGCATAGTACAGAAGCTAACCTATCTTCTAATCAGAGTAAAGCTTACTGCTAAGGTTGTTAGGTCAACCTAATCAAATCAAATTTAGTTCTGCTTCTGTGGTTCCGTAAGAAACAACTCCAGGGCAGTTGGCTCTGGAGACTTGAGCCTGGAATGCCTCCTACAGAATGCATCACATGGGTGCATAAGTTACTCAGTACTAAACTAAGGACGGACAGGATAAATTCTAAATAGTTTTAGCACTTGCTGCAAGGAATATCAGCTAGGGACACAAGCTGACCTGCTGAAATAGGTACAGAGTCTCTGTCCATAGTGAGTCAGGTGAATCTCATTACTTTAGCCCACTCAGGCTAGGCCCTTCCCTGTGTTCTGAATTGTTCCAACCAAGATATGACCCTATGATAACACATTTCCTTACCAAACTCACTGCATTGAGTCTAGGTGAGCTCTCTAAGTTGAAATGTCTTTAATTTTGCCAATTTTTGTGAACGTAGGCTGACGTTAAGGTATAGACTGAATTTTGTTTCCTGCAAAACTCACATGTTAAAGCCCCACCCCCAGTGTAACTATATTTGGAGATAAAGCCTGTATGGAAGCAGTTAAGGTTAAAACGAGCTCATGAGGGTTGGACCCTGATCTGACAGCGATCTGATAAGAAGAGACACCAGAGCCATCCCTCTGCCACGCAAGGATACAATAAGATGGCCCTCTGTAAGCCAGGAAGAGAGTTCTCTCCAGAACCCGACCATGTCAGCACCCTGATCTCAGACTTCCAGTCTCCAGAACCATTCTGATGTAGGAAAAGAAATGCTTATTGTTTCAGTCACCCAGTCAACAGTATTTGTTAGGCAGCTTGAGCTGACTAATACACTTGGCCTTAGAGAATATATGTAGCCCTGAACTGAGACTGAGGAGGCAGCCAGGTGGGATATTCCATACCTATGTATGCCCCATCTCTGCTCCATAAGCACATGGTGCAGTCAAGGGAGGATGAGAGCAGAAACTGTTCTTCTATCAGCTCTAAACTAATGAGATAAAAAGGGAGGAAAGATGCTCCAAAGCTGTTCCAGCATGAAAGGGACATTGAATCAATATGTCAATGCTCCATTAATGATGGTTGGAATGTAGAAGGCAGGTCAATCTTCTGAATTATCCTTGGTACCATTCTCTCCCTACCTCCTACCACATCATACCCTCCAAGTTCTCCAGCGCCAGTCCCAAGATATCAAACAAGATACACCGAAAACCGTCTTACGGATGATGGGTCTGGGGAAAGATCAAGATATTGTAAAGAACAGCCCCATCAGAGTTCAGGTTGTGCCCTTAGCACTGACTCCTTTCAATTCAGTAAGAAAAAAAGGTGGGGGGACATCTGCACCTGGGTGGCTCAGTAGGTTGAGTGTCTGACTCTTGATTTCAGATCAAGTCACAATCAAGTCAGGTTCGTGGGATCAAACTCCATATCAGGCTCTGCGCTAAGTGTGAAGACTGCTTAAGATTCTCTCTCTCTCCCTCTGCCCCTCTCACCTGTGCTCTCTCTCTCTCTCTCTCAAATTAAAAAATAAATTTAAATTTAAAAAGTAATAAAAAAACTAAATTTACTAAGTGTCTAAACTTAAAGGAAAATACCAGACCAATTCACGGAAGACAATGATCCATTTACAAGAAAAATGAAGACTTCCAATGGCTTCCTTTAGTCCTGTGCAAGCAGTACCTACATCTTGTTTTCCCCAACAGTAGGATTCGGGATTACAATCCCGTTTTCCTATTTTGACTAATTCAGAGGCCTTTTGAGAGGGTTGATTTGATCAAAGCAATGGGAAGTATTTTAACTCTTACAAGTTCTTGAACTCTAAAATAGATGGTACTCACGACGTCACAACACTGACCGTGCGGAAGGTCACATCTAAATCAAAAGAAAGAACACACCTGAGTACAGTGGGAGAGTTAATCACAGCAATGCTAGATGCCATACAGCAGTTTCATGGGATGGGGTCAGATCTGGATGAGTGTCCAGCAAGGGAGAGGTACCGGTGTGGCAGTCATTGGTTTTGCTACACTAACTGCTAAGTGTTTATTGAGCACCTAACTACGTGAAAGACCCCATGCCAGGTCCAAAGACATATAAAATGGGTCCCTTGCAAGCTGCTTATGCTATGGTTTCCCTCAGTGCTTAGGGTTTGGAAAGCACGCAGGAGTAGACAAGTAATCAAAAGTGATTGGTAAAGTAGGCTGGCAAGTGCTATGCACCCAGTACTTGGAATAGAAGACGGAGGCTAGGCAGGTGGCTCTTACTTCTAAATTCCAATTTCTCTTGCTGTAGCATTTAAACTTCTGTGGGGAACAGGAAAAGGTGACTAAATGGAAGTCTGTATTTACCTCTGTATTGGCCTTCCAGAAACGTGTTTATTGGTATTCTATATAGCCATTTAAATATGTTAGATTCTAAATATGCTGAACGGAGTTACATGTGCTTTTTTGGAAAGTTGTCTAAGGGATGCAAAGGTAAAAAACAAGTTCTGGAAATTATGTAGTGGGATATAGGTGCCCCTGTATATATATATGCATAGAAACTTTCTGAAAGAAAATTAAGATTCATTCACAGTGTTCCCAGGAGGCAGAAATGGCAGGTCAGGTGGTAAAAGAGGTCAGAGTAGCAACTAGTGCTTTTCATTTTCCATTCTTTGGTGCTCTCTGATTTTTTGCTAATCTTGAGCATTTTTACAATTGTATGAGAGGGTTTTAAATTTTTAAACATTTTTGTACCACCAAAGCAATGTTTCCATAAGACAGAATTTCTGGAATACAGATTTCCAAAAATAAAAAATAATGCACATTTATAACCTCATCTTCCAAGAGATAACATTTGTGAAAGCCTTGGTGTGTGTCTTTCCAGACTTTCAATCTTCCACGTATTTCTTCGTTTTAACAAAGAATCATACTCTCTTTATTTTTAAGATTCATACTTTAATGTTATCTTGCGATCTGAATGTTTTCATTTAATAATTTACTGAGAATATTTTTCCTGTGAATACACCTTCATTTACAGCACTGTTCTTCAAAGACTGGATGGTATTCCAGTGTATTTGTTATACCATCATGTACTGAATCAATTCTCCTTATGTTGGATATCTAGGTTGCTTCTAATTATTCTCTTTCTCCCTTACGAACAATGTATTGATTCACCTGATAACTAAGTCTTTGTGCGCATGTCTTATTATTTCTTATGGCCAAATCTTAGAAGTAGGATTGCCGGTTTGTAGCTTTCGATATGTAGAGTCAACTTACCCTTCCGATAGCATACACCAATTTGCTTCCTAGCCAAGAGCATATAGGAGTGCCCATTGTCCTGTATCCTTGCCAAGCTAAAAATATTTGTTTCTAAACTCATTCTTAAAGGGTTTTATAGACCGCCTCCCCCTACCCCCCATCCTCACTGGTACAATTCCATCTTACCAACCAGAATATTAAGTTAAAACTGAAGCTGTGCTCATTATGGTATTTAACATGAAGTGTTTATTGTCTACTCTTGGGGGACTGCAGCTCGGGTCCCTGCAGGCCATATTCTTTGATGTCATAGACGTGCACAAAGCCTTCCTGGTCGGCCACGTAGGCGAGGGCATCTCTTGCTGTCACTGCGATGCTGCTGACCTGTGCTTTGTCTCTGGACTGAAAAACACATGCACATGGTCCATCACACACACACACATTGGGTCCATCATACACACACACACACACACACACACACGGCCCATCACAGATGCACACGGGGCCCATTGCCGATAAAGCTGACTTGTCAGACAATGGCAAGTGGAATGCTGCATCCCATTTGCAGTAAGAACTCATCACTGTGCCTGTGTTAATCTTTCAGCAAGATAGGGTATGCTATATAGATAATCAAGCTAAAAACTTGGAGCTCAGAAGAGTCGCTGTGTTGCACAGTCAGGCTAGTGTCGATAAAGAAAAAAACAGGGGCGCCTGGGTGGCTTAGCTGGTTAAGTGTCCTACTTCGGCTCAGATCACGATCTCACAGCAGTGAGTTCGAGCCCCGCGTCGGGCTCTGTGCTGACAGCTCAGAACCTGGAGCCTGCTTCAGATTCAGTGTCTCCCTCTCTCTCTGCCCCTCCCCTGCTCGCACTCTGTCTCTCTATCTCTCTCAAAAATAAATAAACATTAAAAAAAATTTTTTTAAGGAAAAAAAACAACAACAAACCCCAAGTGTGGAAGTTATTTCCAATCGACTGTCCAACTTACAGGAGTGAGGTTTGCAATGGGACGGGCCCCACCGAACAGCCTCCAGAAGGTGACAGAACCTGTGAGGAGAGGAGAGCAGGAAGACCACCGGGGGGTGTGCACTTCACCTGTGCCTCCGAGTCTCCTGAGACTTTGCTGCCAGGCACTGCAGCCTCGTGACACCAGGGGCCTCTTCTTATACCCGTGGCTAGAATTATCCATGAATATAGGGGAAGAGGGTCCTCTTCGTGGGTTTTGAATCAAAGGGCTCAGTGGCCTTTTCTGTCTCCACTAATCTAGGCAACTTTCCTGATGAGAAGGGCAGATTCGGCTATGGAAGAGAGGTCTGGAAGTTAGAGCTACGGCAATAATCTGTGTATGTGTGTGTGTGTGTGTGTGTGTGCGCGTGTGTGTGTGGGTGTGCATGTGTGTGTAAGTACTTATTTTAAACACACTGTGGGGCCTGCCTAGTCAAAGGGATTCTTGGGCCGGGGGGGTCTTTGTCGCCTATCAGCCACAATTCTTGAATGTGTTTTACACATGGGTGTTCATGTAGCAAGCCTTTGTGAAGTGGAGACCCCATGCATATCACTTGCTCTTGGGAGTTCCCTAAATTACGAGGTTGAAGTTTCCTTCTCTTAGGGCCAACGGGGCTCTGTGATCCCACCAGGCAAAGCAGAAGCTATGGATGCCTCAGTGTGGAGGGTGGAGAGGAGCATCCAAGGGCATCTGCAGCTTTGGGGCTGGGGCCGTGGGTCCAAAGTCCAGAGGACATAGCCTCCCTAACTACCTAACGAGAACGCCAACGACCACCCCAGGATCCGTACACACAACTTGAGCTTCCCCTCTGCAACCGGAACACAGGTGGCTGGCTGTTTTTCAACTCATAATTTTAATTAAAATCCTGGAGCTTTGGAGTAGGACTGTGGCCCACTTGTTACATTTTACTAAAGCCTGAGGGTCGTGTCATTTGTGTAACGTCGCCTCGCTAATTAGTGGTAGATCTCCATTCAGAAGCTCATCCTCAGGCTCTGAGGGGAGCCCTGGCTTCTTCCTCCTAAAAAGAGCAGGACACATAGCTGATCTACACTTAGGATGCTTTGTTCTTCTTAAGGCTCTTCCGTCAGGCTGCCTGTGCTTACTCGTGGCTCTCCCCTTAAAAGGCTGTGCTTGGTGTTCATTTAGCCTGACTACATGATGTCCTCGGTGACCCACTTCACTTGTAGAGGCCTCTGAGCGGGCAGCTGAGGCGAGGAAACTTGATTTGGAGGAAGTTGGAGTCAGGCCCTCACTCCCTGGGTGATCACCTCCCTGGCTGGCAGGACCGGGGCCAGAGCAGGTAGGGTAAGGGCCTTAGTCAGCCTGGGCTCCAAGGACAGAGCGGCTGGAAGGAGAGATAGCAGAGGTTGTGGAGGGGAGTAGTGAGTGCTTAGGGACCCTCCCTTTCCAGGTCCAGGCCTGCAGTGGCCAAATATTAGAAAAGAGCAGCACAGCCCCTGCGGGAAGCTATTCTTACCTTGGGGCCCATTGGTGATTAGGGAAGTGGCCACTGATTCAAACTTGGCTGCTCGAGTCTTCAAGAGGGCAAGACAGGAAACGCTCCGATCTGGGCCTGGTGACCAGGGAGAGTTTGGGTGTGCTCACAGCCCTTTCTCCCACCTTCTTCTGTAGCTCTGCCCCCCAGCACACCCCCTCCCCCACCATGGGCCTGAAGCAGGAGCTGTGCACACAGGGGCGTGGACATCCTGGCATCCTCGCTGGTTAAGAACCAACCCAGGTAGGGGCGCCTGGATGGTTCCGTCTGTTGAGCGTCCGACTTCAGCTCGGGTCATGATCTCACAGTCCATGAGTTCGAGCCCTGCATCGGGTTCTGTGCTGACAGCTCAGAGCCTGGAGCCTGCTTCAGATTCTGTGTCTCCCTCTCTCTCTGCCCCTCCCCCCTCATGCTCTCTCTCTCTCTCTCTCTCTCTGTCAAAAATAAATAAACATTAAAAAAAAATTTTTAAATAAAAAGAACCAACCCAGGTAAAGTCAGGTGTGAAGGCAGATGGCCCTGGCATCGCCCAGGAGCCTAGGACTTTTGGAGAGAAACAAGGATTTGGGAGGCTTTGCCCAGGACTTTACAGGTGCTTCTCAAGAAGTCCCCACTCCCTAGAAATTCTTGGATTGAAATAATATGAATTAACCATTATGTCACCTCTTACATTTACCAAGATACAAAACCATGTGAAATCCTATGGTACTGGATTATTAGTCCCATGGTCAGAGAGAAAGTGGAGACTTAGAAAAGTCAAAAGCTTTGCTCAAGGCCAAAAAGATGTCCATTCTTTCATTCACTTGTTTTTGATGAACATGTGTTAAATCTCTGGTACAGCCCCGACATTGTGCTGAGAGCAGTGGATAGAAGGAGAGGCAGAGGGCCACACTGAGGCAAAAGAACTACTCCCAGGAATGAACAGGATGCTGCTGGCACATGCAGGACGGGACTTGTTGTGTATGGAGAAGGGAGAGGTCAGAGAAGGCATCTGAGGGGAAGCAGCATTGAATCTGGAATCTTGAAAGATGTCTCGGGCACTGGGCAGAGAGGGCTGTCTAGGAAAAGTCATCAAACTCTATCTTCTCTGTACAGCCAAGGGTTGGAATACATTCTAAGTCCACCTCCCGGCTTCCTCCTGGTCTTCCACTCCCCCTGCTATACTTTAAGCACCATCGACACAGGAGCCACATCTGTTTTTTTTTTTTAAGCCACTTATCTGTAAATCCTCTCACCATGCTTACTACATAGAACTCAAATATTTGTTGTTAAATAAAAATCCTGGAAACTTAGATGAAACCTGTGAGAACCACAAAGAACGTTGCTACTTGAGGTTGTGGGCAAGGAGCTCTCTTTACATTTTTCTCTTTGAGTCTGTGGGCATTGGGGTACGTGGCCCAGACTGAAGGTGCCATGAATGGTCTCATGTAAATAAGGGGCTATATAAATAATGGGGCTGGTGCTGAAGTTAAATACAAGGGGTGCTGTCTCACTACCATGGGGGTACCCATGAACCAGGCTGTTAATCATTCAGCAATACTTATTTTGGCCTCTGAGCTCACCACAGTGGACATGATAGACTCAGGCCATGCCCTCAAGCAGAAAATGATTATAATTAGGATTATCTATTTAATGGACACTTTCTATGTGCCAGGCACTGAGCTGGGCACGTTCTCAACATTCCTGTACTTTAATCATCACAACAATCTTAGGTAGACATTATGTTTCTGATTTGGCAGGTGGTGAGACTGTTTTAGAAAGAATTACATTGCCTAAGGCACACAAGTTAACCATAGAAGGGCTGAGATTCAAACCCAGATGTGTTCACATCCAAAGCCCATGCCCTTGATATTGGATTTTGTAGTTGTCTTTGGAAGGCTGAGGATTCTTAGAAGCAGGATGGAGGGTCCACCCACATGGCGGTATGGCTCTTGCCTGTACCCAATGCCTGGGATATACCTATAGTGATTAGGCTAAGTGTTACCTTACTCTCAGTTTATCAGATCCTTGGGATTATTGACACAAGGGGGGAGGGGGGGGCAAGATGGGGGGCAGGTAAAAGAGGGGCATATGCAGCAAAGATAAAGTCCCTTCACTTTGCCCACATTCGTCCTGCAGAGGGCCTGCAGTCCCAAGAAATGGGTCTGCATGTCACTTCCCTACTTTCCTCAGGGAGAATTTCACTTCCCTAAACTCAATCTTCTTCATCTGTGATATGGAGACAATACTTCCTATTTCATAGAGTTTGGCCAGGAGTAAGTGAGACACTATGTGAATTGCGCTACATGACCTTGCAGAGATAGCTGAAAGGGGACAATGAACCTACAGTTCATGGCACAGAGACGCTCAACAAATGGTAGCTTTCATAATCATTGTTACTGAACTCTCTGGCCTCAGTTTCCTCATCTGTGAAAACGGGTACAATAGCACCTATCTCTTAGGGTTAATGTGAATGCTAAATGAGGTAAAATATTAAAAGCACTCAGGAAAATACATACAGGATTAAATATATTATTTATATAATATTTGTATATTGTTATATTAATTATAATTCTATTATTAAATAGTAGATACTATTTAAGTTATTATATTTATGAAATATTATATTGTTATAAGAGACAAATATCATTATTTACAAACAAGAAAATATTATTATATTGTTTTCCTAGTTAAAAAGCCTTAGTATCTAAGAACTAATAAATGAATTCAGCGTAATAGCAGGATACAAAGTCAACACACAAAAATCTGTGCATTTCTATACACAGACAAGAAACACTCTGCAAAGGAAATTGCAAAAACAACCCCAGTAGAATAAAAAAGAATAAAACACTTAGGAATTAACTAAGGAAGTGAAAGACTTGTATGATGAAAACGACAAATAAATTCAAAACATTTATTTATGTTATGAAAGAAATTGATAACCTAAATAAATGGAAACATATCCATGTTCGTGGATTGGCAGACTTAATATTGTGAATACTACCCAAAGTGATCTACAGACTCAATGCAATCTTTATCAAAATCCCAATGATGATTTTTGCAGAAATAGAATACCTATCCTAAAATTCGTATGGGATCTCAAGGACCCCGGATAGCCAAAATTTTTTCAAGATTTTTTTAATCTTGAAAAAAAAAGAGCAAAATTGAAAGACTCACACTTTTTGATTTTAACATTTACTGTAAAACCACAGGAATCAAAACAGTGTGGTACTGGTATAAAGACAGACATGTAGATGAATGGACTAGAATAAAGATCCCCAAAATGAACCCTGACGTTTATGGTCAAATGATATTTGACAAGGGTGCCCAGATTGTTCAATGGGGAAAAGAGAGTCTTTTCAACAAATGGTGTGGGGAAACTGGAATATCCACATGCAAATGGATGAAGTTGGACCCTTATCTAACGCCACATACAAAAATTAACTCAAAATAGATCAGAGGACTAAACGTAAAACCTAAACGAGAAAAACTCTTGGAAGAAAACACAGGCCAAAAATTTCATGACGTTGAATGTGGCAATGATTTCTTTTTTTTTTTAATTTTTTTTTTTAACGTCTTATTTATTTTTTTTGGGACAGAGAGACAGAGCTGAATGAGGGAGGGGCAGAGAGAGGAGAACAAACAGAAACAGGCTCCAGGTTTCTGAGCCATCAGTCCAGAGCCCCACAGCAAGGGACTGATGAAACTCACTGGACTCAGAATCGCGACCTGGCTGGAGAATCGGACTTAACCATCGCCACCAGGCGACTTCCATGTAACAATGATTTCCCGTTACATTGGGCTATGACACCGCTATGAACAAGGACGAAAATTAAAACAGAATAATTTGGACTTTGTGACGAAAAAATATCGTAAGACATCATACACCAGGGTAAAGGCACACTACCTATAGAATGAGAGAAAATAGGCGCTGGTGGCTCGTTAGTCGGTCTAAGCGTCAGCGATCGCCTCAGCTCATGGTCACCGATCTATCACACGCATTGATGCAGGCCTCCCGCGCTGCCGGGCTCTTGGGCTGAGGGCTCAGAGCCTGAGCCTGCTTCCCCAGTTCCTGTTCTCCTCTCTCTGCCCCTCCCCGTTCATGCTCTGCCCTCTCTGTCTCAAAAATAAATAAACGTTAAAAAAAAATTTTTTTTTTTAAAAAAGAATGAGAGAAAATATTTGCAAATCACGTATCTGGTAAGGGATTCATATCCAGAATATATAGAGAACTTCTAAAACTCAACAACAACAAAAAAACCCCAAACAACCTGATTCAAAAATGGGCAAAGGACTTGAACAGATGTTTTTCCAATAAAGATATACAAGTGGCTGACATGCACATGAAAAGATGCTCAACATCACTGATCTTTAGGGCAATGCAAATCAAAATCATAATGAGATACCCCCTCATACCCATTAAGATGACTATTAAGACAAACAAACAAACAAATGAAATAACAAGGGTTGGTGAGAACGTGGAGAACTTGGAAACCTGTGCACTGTCGGTGGCCATGTAGAATGACAGAACCACTGTGGAAAACAGTACAGAGGTTCCTCAAAAATCTAAAATAAAACTGCCACATGATCCAGTAATTCTACTTCTGGATGTATACCCAAAAGAACTGAAAAGCAGGGTCTTGAAGAGATACCGGCACACCCACGCTCACAGCAACGCTATTCACAGTGGCTAAAATGCAGAAGCAACCCAAGCGGCTACTAATGGGAGAAGGGATAAGCAGACTGTGGTACACCCACAATGGAATATTATTCAGCCTTAAAAAGGAAGGAAATTCTGTGATATGCTACAACAGGGTGAAACTTGAGGACATTACATTAAGTCAAATAAGGCAGTCACAAAAAAGACAAATATCGTATGATTCCACTTACACGAAGGACCTATGGTAGTCAAAATCGTAAAAATAGAAAGTATCATGGTGGTTGCAGGGGATGCAGGGAGGGGAGAATAGGGACTTAGTGTTTAGGGGTGACAGTTTCGGTTGGGGATGATGAAAGGTTGTGCGGACAGGAAGTGGTGATGGTGCGCAGCCACGTGATTGTGTTTAATACCACCCAACTTTAAGTTTTGGTGTGTGTGTTTTACCACAATAAACAAAGAGGAGGAGGAAAGGAGGCAGAGGGGAGGGAGGGGGAGGAAAGGGAAGTGGAGGAGCAGAGAGAAAAAGCCTTAGTCTCCCAGTGAGCTCACTGCTTTCCTGGATTTCAGCCTGGTTGAAATCTGCCTCTCTCTTTCACTCTCCAATTCTTTCTCTTTGTTGTGAAGAAAGATGTAACGATCCCGAATGTAAGGAAGAACGAAGCTAAAATGTTGGAAAGTCAGCAGAAAGGATGTGTTTCCAGCTCATTTGGCTTTGCCTGCTCAATCGCCTCTCTCTCTCTCAGCTCCCCTCTCTACTGAGAATGACTTCAGAAGAATTGTCCAGACAGTTTTCCAAATAAGATGATGACCTCTTAACCAATCCCATGTGAAAAAGACCACTGGGTTCTTTGACCTTCCAGAAGAGCCAGGACTGCTCTTTCCTGGAAGGGTGGGGAGCTTTCACATACTTTCACCTCGTTTTTTGCAATGTAGAAATGTGAATTATTGGTAACGATGGCTGGCTTTGCATTTGGGGAGCAGAAAAGGAGTTTCTCAAAGCCAACAGTCACATAACTTGAAGCAATAAATGCTGCTGCAAACAGGGTTTTAAATTAGAGCTTCTGGCTAAAAGGTCAACATCGCATTCTTGGCCAGTGACTTTATTTTCATTTTAATGGCAATGAAAATAATCTTTTAGAAGGAAATGCCATCACTTTTTCCCCAAAGGTTTTTAAAACTTTTAGGCACTCTGGGAAAGAGCTTCATAGAAGAATCTTTTTTGTTATCGTAAAGGGGGTAGGAATAGACTGGATAATAAGTCTATAGGTAAGAATTTCTTTTTAATCTCATGGTGCTTAGTGGTTTCCGTTGCTAGCCACTGCCTTCCGGAGTGTCTCTCTCGCAGTCCAGAGGCTGATCACATTGCTTTACCATTATTTTACTTACTGGGCATTCATATCTTGTCTCTGAATTTAGACTGTGAGCCCCCTGAAGGCAGGGTCAGGCCTCGCATCTCTCTCTCATCTTTTCTATGCATCTCCCTCAGGGTTATGCCCATGGGAGTGGTTCAAAGATATTTTCTGATCAAGTAAGTCATTAGAACTTTTCCTTGGCTAGTAAGTTATCAAATGCCTAAAGCGGGGATTGCAGGGTAGGGTTCTCTGAGGGTTTGCTGCTTGGGCTTCAGGAAATGCAAGAACTTACCAGTTTTATGCAAAATCACCAGTGCCTTGTGTCTCCCCTGTTGGGGCTCCATGGGTATGAGGTAGTGGGTCCCCTGGCTGTTGGCAGATGAGTGGCTGCAGACTGTGACTTGGGAAAAATAAGCCTGGACTCTGGAGGTAGGGCAAGGACTGATAGGAAGCCTTTGGCGGCTGTGGGTTCCCACGGTTTTCCATCCAGCACAGCCAGCCATGAAACTGATAGTGTGTTTTTCAAATGGTTCATGACTTAGAGGGAGAGGGGTGTGGTTACCAGCCCCAGGACCCAGCCCTGGACCTGCACATAGCAGGAGCTCATCAATATGTTTTGAATGAAGATGTGAATGAATGGGCCCATGATCACATTAGCAGAGAGAGGGGGTCTTAAAGAAATGGAACCAGGGTAGAGAAATTAGAGAGAATGGGGTGGGAGAGTGGAGAAAAGTTTTGCAATAAAATATACAAGTAGTAAGGACTGATCCATGTGGGGGCGTGTGGGGGATCGTGGGACCCTGGGGGCACCCGAAGGGCTAATGCGTGTGGTGAGGGTGGCATTAAGCTTGAGGGCACACAGCTGAGTGACACATCAGGAGATGATGTCTGAGGTGGGATGGGGGACAGGAGTGATAGCTGGGAAAAGGAGCCCATAAAGAGTGGTATTAAAGACACAGGGCTAAAATTGGCACTGTAGCAGAGACCAAGGGGCTCAGCAGGAGAGACAATCCTTCATGTGGACAGTGGATGAGACAAGGCTCCCAAAGGTAGTGGGCAAGGCTGTGAGATAGGCTCTGATGGATGAGTGCCTGGGATATGGACTGAGCTAGCTAAACTCTTAAGCTCCCTCCCAGCTTTGGGAATTTCCATTTGACAGGTTAAACCTGAAACCAGGCTAATCCCTTCTCACCTGGATGCTGTCCAGAACTGAGATTTCTTTAGCCGATGAGCCAGGAGTCCAAGCCTGCTGGGGCCTGTGCAGAACGGCCATGGAGCCTGCCCCTCACCTACCTTTTCTTTCTTCTGCAACCATGAGAGGGGCTGAGAGTGTTCAGCTTGCAGTAAATGTGGCCTGAGATGACGTTCCAAATGATGACCTCTCCATCGTAACTGGAAGTCAAGAGAAGAAAAGGTGGGCATTGAGCCACACAGAGGATGTCCTCTTTGTGCCCATGGTTCTGAGAAGGAGAGAGATGGAGAGGGACAGGGTAAGAAATCAAATTCTCAATCACCCATAGATAGTTCTCCTTCATCTGATCCCTAAGACAGAGGATGCAGACGGGTTCCTCCTCCTGTGCTTGCCCACGATGGAGACTCACCTAGAACCTCATGACCCAGCCCCAAGGATCAGGGCATCCTTCCAGGCAGGAGTCTGTGTACAGGTCAGCCAGAGAGGTGCTGCCTCTCCTTGGGTCAGTTCTACTACCTTCCCCAGGGAAGTGATAATCCTAGCAGCTTCCTGACCTCCCCACACAGCTGACAAATGGAGTGTTTGCAGGGAGCCCTGTTTGGGGCTGAAATGGTGATGGCAATGGGATAATGAAAACCAGCTCTGGGCCAAGGTGATTTGGCTTCCCAACAGCTCAGTTCTAAGTTCCAGAGTGTGCTGTCCCTTGACTTGATTCCTACAGGGTTCCCATCTGCGGCTTACACATGCAGTTAGAAATTTAGATCACCTACTCTCCTCGAAAGGAGGATTTGGATATGGATCCTTAAGAAAGATGAGAAACCAAAATGGAGTTTTTTGAGGGCAGTGCTGCAGAGAGCTTAAAGAGCTCCCGGCCACAGTCCCTCAACATCCTCACTGGGGTACAGTTTCCATGTGAAGAGACTTGGCTTCTCCTGGTGCTGTAGAGGCATCATTTTTCCCTTGCTCTCACATACTTTCCACAGAGTGTCCCCTGGGGACCTGTCCATGTCATCTAAGATGTCCCTTCTGCCTGAAAGTGGCTGGGAAGGTGGTGGCATAAGACAGTTGGAAAAGAGAAGGTCAATGGCTCTCTCTTTCCCACAATCTTCTGCCAAATCCTGTCTCCTTCTGTGACTTGTGACCATGTATGTCTGGGATCCTCCTCCTCCTGTGATGCCCCACTGCCCACACCATGACGTGTACATGCCTTAGCATGACTGTCAAGCTCTAACTTTTCAACCTCATTTCCCTCCTGTGTCTGATGCCCCAGCCCCTCAAACTTTTCATAGCCCTCCAGACAACATGCTTTTCATGCATGCTTCCCAACTTGGCTCATGCTTTCATGCTTTCCCCCTTCCCATCATCTACATTGCTTTCCTCACCTCGGCCTCCTGGGAAAATCCTAGTAATCTTTCGATCTCCTGTGTGATGTTAGAGCAAAGTTAGTAGTTCCCACCTCTAGGCTTCTCCCACATCTTTTACATTATTATATCATTTGTCACATTGCATGATTATTATTTCCGTAGTTTATCTCCTCACCAGGCTGTGAGATTCTGGGCCAAGAATCACATTGTTTTTTAAAAATATTTTTTAACGTTTATTTATCCTTGAGAGACAGAGCATGAGCAGGGGAGGGGCAGAGAGAGGGGGAGACACAGAATCCGAAGCAGGCTCCAGGCTCTGAGCTGTCAGCACAGAGATCGATGTGGGGCTCGAACCCACGAACCGTGAGATCATGACCTGCGCCGAAGTCGGACGCTCAACCGACTGGGCCACCCAGGCACCCCAGGAATCACATTTTATTCACGTTGTATCTCCTGGCCCTATCCATTAAGCATGACACTATAAAAGTGCCCAAAAATATGTGTTGAGTGAGTTAATAGTTGAATAAATAAATATTTGAATGCACTAACACTTCACTGACTTGCTTGACAATGCCTCCTTGCAATGGCCTTCACTTCCAGGCATTTTCTGCACAACTTTGTTCTTTCACTCAATAATCACTAATCTGCGAACTCCGGGAAGGCAAAGATCATGAGATGACCCTTTTGATCATAACTTCATCTTCAGTGAACAAAGCACACTTGGTCCACAATCTGCACTTGGCATATGCTAGTTGAATGGAATCAAATTAATTAGGCATTGCTATAAAGTGGGCACTGGGCTAGGTCCTGGGAATACCATGGTGAAGGCAGACAAGGCCTGGCCTCATGGAGTTTGTATTCTAGTGACTTGTACCTTTTGGAATGTTTATGGGGGTTTAAGGTAGGGTTGAGCTGTAGCACACGGTTGGGCACAGTGACTTTGCTTTCTTAGCACTTGTCTTATTGGCTTGGCATCCAGACAATTCTGAGGGAGGTCATTCAACCATAGGAGGCTGCAGAAAGTTGGGGCACTTTGCTAATAAGAATCACAAGAAGTATCCTGGTTGTGGGCCCCCAACAAGCCACAGGGCAGGAATGTCATCTCTTCGGCTCCCTGGCTGCCCAAAGGTGACACAGCAAATGCATACAATTTTGCATGCCAAGCAGAAATAGGAAGTACATGCTTCTTTCAGGAAAGTCACACCCACCACATCTTGGGCTGGCATTCCTGTACTACATGAATCCTGGCTGAGCTCATGGAGAGCTGCATGGATTGGCTTCCGTAGCCCCATGCCCCAATCTGAACACAAGGCCATCACTCTTCCTGGAGGGGAAGCAGCTGCCTGGAGCCCAGCACTTCTGGCTCTACCTGGACCCCAGTCATGATTCCTGCCACAGCAGAGGCTTTTGAGGTCCTTGTGACAACCCTAGGCAGGCCCAGGAGAGTCAGGGTGAGCCTCTAAGTGACAGATATCCTCAACATGTGCCACTGTTTGGGTTGAGAGCCAGACAGTGTGGACCAGGGCTCACCAGGTCATCCTGCCAGTGTGGCTGCGGCTTCCAGAAGTGATGAAAGTCACATGGTGCATCCTGTATGCAAAGCCAAGGAAGAGACGTTGTATAAGCAGTAAAATGAGCTGCCAACACACTCACAACTTCAGAGAGAAGGTGTTGGCACATTTTATAACCCTACCCCTCACCCCACCAGTGATGTAGTTTTTCGAAATGTCAAAGCAAATTCCTCTAGTGCTAGTGGGAATAAAAAGCAATCCACTTCTGATGTTTGGGTGATTGCATTTCAACAAATCATATGTCAACTGACAAACTCTCCTTGGATGGTCTGCATAGCTTTGCCTTCATAATAAGAAAGCCATAGCCGCTGCATGTGTTAAAACAAAAGCCGTCAGCTCAGGAACCTATAATACCAAAGGATGGATTCAACACCAGAGCTTCTCAGGTAGTCGTCTCTCAAATCATCTGGGGATGCAAGGCTTAGGCTGTGAAATACGGCTTGCCTTCAAACGAATAAAGAACTTACAATGTTTAAAGACCTTCAGAAATCCATGGCCATCCAGCATAGTGAGCAGGGGAAATAAAATGTCACAGGTAGATTTAAAACTTAGTTTCAGTCAGCATTTTCAACTTCTCCTGTCCCTGAATCCTTTCTCCATCTCTAAGCAATAAAAAAATACTTTTTCCCCCCAGAGATGCTTATAGATGGCATTTCGTCTCCTCTTCCCACTTACAGAGGGACCAGGGCATAAAGACAAGGTGGAAGGAAGAAGGGAGAAAGTAAGGTCTGGACAATTGACAGAGTGGTTAGCCCTCACTTAGGGGCAAGGATATGCGAGATATGCTGACGCCCCAGCGTGCCGGGGAGGAGGGAGCATGACAGCCCAGGTACGAGGGGTAAGAATACAAGGCAAACTGTGTAGAGCTCCACGTTCCAGGCACAGTCTGCTTTGAATTCCCAGGGATGCCCTCTGTGCCTCTGATAGCTCTTCTAGCTAACACTTCGTGATACTGCGACTTACGATAAGAAATAGGTATTCGGTCTCTGTCCCCACTTCTGGCAGATAGCTCCTAAAACCCTTGGAATTCCCTAAGTGCTGAGAGCATGGGAGGTGTCTGAAGTTGGTGGGGGGGCACGAAGACCGGGCTTGTGGGACTGAGCCTGTAACCTGTGGATCTGATGCTATCCCCGGGTAGATGGGCCAGGATTGAGCTGAATTGTAGGACACCAGCTGGTGTCAGAGAATTGATTGTTGATGTGGGAACCAGCGCCCTCCCAGAGTTAGGTGAAGAGTCATTATACTTCCTCCCATAAAAGAGAGCTAGAGGGGTGCCTGGGTGGCTCAGTCAGTTAAGCATCTGCTTTTGGTTCAGGTCATGATCTCATGATTCATGAGTTGGAGCCCTACATCGGGCTTTCTGATGTCAGTACAGAGCGCGCTTCAGATCCTTTGTGCTCCTCTTTCTCTGCCCCTGCCCCACTAGGTCTCTCTCTCTCTCTATCTTAAAAATAAATAAATAAACTTTAAAAAAAAGAAAACTAGAGGGAAGAAACAGAAACAAAAACCAAAGTAAAAAAGGTTTCTAAAAGGGAGGAAGAGAGGGAGGGAGGAAATTCTTCTGTCTCTCTCATGGCTTAACTTGTAGAGAGAGCAGAAGTCTAAAGAACTACTACAAACTGATTTTAGTGTGAAAAGAATCAAGGGTAGGGTTGGTGGGGAGAGGATAGCAATCTGAAGCAGGGTTTTGAATAGCTCATTTTGTACATTTCACTTACAAAATACACATTTATTCTTCTGTCCCATCCAACAGCTATGATGCACCTAGAACAGTAACAGAGTAGTAGTACATCTCAATACTTGAGCTTATCATCTCTTTACTTTTTGCACGCAATCAACACTGTGGTTTAATTTTGCCATGTCTATATGATAAATGGAGAGAGCAAGATAAAATGTGATTTGATAAATTAGGGTCAGCGTTTTCACTGCTACTTAAGGGATCTATAATTTCCGAGGTCTATGGATGCTACTCCAGGAGCAGTTGCCCTTCTGAAGGTTAAGTGATCCTAAGAGCTCGGTTGAAACACGGAGGCAAGGGCACAAACAGAAACCAATCGGGAATTGTTTTCACTCTTTTTGTGTTCAGGAGAGAATTTATTGGATTTTTATTCTTGGCCTTGTGGCTGCTGAATTTAATTACTCTGGTAATCTAGTCTGTGATTTATTCTTCAAGAAAGCATTTGGTGGAGAGATGCAGTGCTCCCTATCTCTACCTCTAAATAGTCATCAAAATGTGCAGAGAATTGCTTCCAATATTCTAGAAGAGCCTAGTTGCCTAAATTACCATCAGGGAGCAACCAGGGTCTTCGGGAATGCTTTGACATATTTCCTTCTGGAAAATTCCCTTCATTGTCTTGGTGTCCTCCTCCAGCATAGATTTTGTATCAAAAAGATGCATCCCCCTCTTACATCCAAGCTGAATATAACTTACTTATTTTGGTTCACCTCCAAGTAGGTCCAATCACAGACTTCACTTTGTTTTTCATCTAGAAAGATAACATTGTCACCTTCTATTAGACATTCTTCTTTATTAGTCCTTAAATCAGTTTACACATGTTGTCTCAATTCAATGATTATTGGGGAAAACTTGCGTACTTTCTAGTTTTCAGACCACAGTTAGTTGTCTTTCAAACCACCAAAGCCCTGCTGGTTTCCTGCACCACCACCCCCCCCCCCCCCCCCCCCCCCCCCCCGCCCCGCATTGCCCTAAAATGCTGGTTCTGCCCTTGCTCAGCTTTGGGAAGAAGCTCGCCTTCTCCTGACAGGACCCTACACGGTGCCCGGCTCCTCCTGAGTGAGGAGACAAGTGAACACAGGCAGGTCAAAAGCAGAACTTGGAATCACAAACTCATTACTTTGAGTGATTTTTGTCTTTTTTTACTTTGGATTCTTTTATATTCTCTGGTAGTTGAAAAGTTTTTGCCTCTTATCTTCCTCATGGAAAGTCAACAGGCCAGAATTGTGGAAATTCGACCAAAATCAGGTACAGCACATGAACAAGTGGAAAAGTGGCCTTGGAAAAAAAGTCACTAACACACAAAACAGACTAGCTTTTAGTTTGCTCACCCATATTTTGACTTATGTGATGTTTAAAATGTTTAGAAAAGCTAAGCTCTTTTAAGAACGCAGATAAACATACCGGGTGATGAAGGAGCAGGTGCACAAGGCTTAGCTGGGAGCACATACATTCATGTAAAGTACATCTCTCCTCAGTAGAAGTTTAAAGTCATTGGTAAAATGAAGGGCCAGAGAAAAAGAATGTAGGATTGTCACGTGCACCCTAGATCCCATCTCATTTGTTTCTTCTACCTTGACAACAAATGCCCAATCTTGCATCATTATGTTATGGGGAGCCTTGGTAGGAAGCGACTTGCCATGTTTCAGTGTGTGCAGACAATGTCCGTTGTTGTAGCTCCATATCTTCAGACAGCCGTTTCTGCCCCCAGTGACTAGCCTAGGAAACAGTCTTCTGTTAGGAAATCATGTCAGGGAGCTCACCGCCTAATGGCTGAAGCTACTGGAGAAGACACATACCTTCTTCCACTGGAGTCAAAGGTCAGAATGTGATTCCAGCATTGCCATGAGCCCCAGTAAATCCAGAAACAGCCTTCCTGTTTCAAAGTCCCATACTTTTACCACCTGTATCCGGAAGTTGAAAAAAAAAAGTGACCTTGAGATACTGGCTATCAAATTAAAGGGAATTTGCATTCAGAAGTCTAGTGCCACAGATATGTAAGATGAAAACTTACCCTGAAGGTATCTTTACTTCCAATACAAGTTGGCTTACCTTGGTGTATTCATTTGCTGGGCTGTATTATAAAATACCACAGAACAGGGGGATTAAATAATACACATTTAGTTTCTCACAGCTCTTGGGGCTGGAAGTCCAAGATCAAATTGTTTGCAGGTTTGGTTTCTTTTGAGTCGTCTCTTCCTGGCTTGCAAATGGCCACCTTCTCATTGTGTCCTCACATGGTCTTTCCCCTGTGTATGCACACCCAGGGTTTCCTTATGTGTCCAAATTTTCTCTTGTTATACGGACACCAGTCAGATTGGCTCAGGACCCACCCTAATATCCTCATTTTAACTTAATCCCCTCTTTAAAGGCTCTATCTCTGCATGCAGTCACATTCTGAGCTGCTGGGATTGGGCCTTCAACATAGGAACACCCGGGAAACAAAATTCATCCCATAACACTCAGCGAGAAGATTAGAAAATTTAGAAATCTTTGGGTAAAAATCTCCTGACTACCAAGGCTCAGAGAAATAGGTGTGGATTGAATTCTGAGCAGCAAAATTTATTCAGCACCAAGGCGAAGCTGAGTGAGGAAGACAGCCTGTTTGGGGGGAAGGATATATCTTCTAAACCCTCAGCTTTCAGGTTTCACTCAGTCTAACTAGTTTGAGTCTTGGAGTGGCTTTCTTTCTGCCCCATTCCTTGAGCAACCTTTGAATGAGAATCATCTGTCAAGGGAGATGAATGTCAGCTTTCATGACCGGTTGAGGTAAGTGCCTACCCCAAGGAGGGCTTCCTCTGGGGCAGGCTTTCTGGAGCCTGTACCCAAAGGCATGGTGGCGTGGGAGGAGAAATGCTTGAGGACAACACTCTGTCTCAGAACCACTGAATGTTCCTATTAATCTTCCACTTTGTAAAAGAGGCTATTCCATCGACATAGAGAAATTTCCAGGTCTCCAACCCAGAAACCAGAAGGCATCCTCTCACTGGTGTTGATTTAAATGCCTAAGAGCAGGTTTTTAGTAATGTACACTTTGCTTCCTGCCCCTCTGTCCTTTTACAACGCCAGGGCTCGTGGGGGTGGGAAGGAGGGCGGGGTGTGTCTATAGCTCCGGAGCATCCATTTGTTCCCCTTAATATTGCAATAGACCCTTAGCATTACTGGGTATTACTTTAATTATTCCAACCTTTGCAAACATCCCGAAGTTTCACAACATGCGTGACTTGTAATATGGTCAAGGTCCAGAAAGGAATGTGGTACCTGTTGGCATGGAAGAATGAGCAGAGGGCGCTGAGTGGGGCAGATAGCCCGGGATTGACACAGAGCGGGAGGCAACCTCCCTGTGGACCTGCCTTCTGGTTAAGTGGTTAAACAGTCACACATTCGCTTCCTTAAAAAGAAATTCCCCCAACACCACCACCTGCTACTGCCAGTTACGGTTACGGTTACGGGAGCGAAAAGATTGAAGTGAGCAATTACAATATCTTTAAAAACGACTTAGGGTTCTATTTATAGAATCAAGAAAAGTCTAGGGATGCCTGGGAGGCTCAGTTGGTAAAGCATCCAACTCTTGATCTCGGCTCAAGTCATGATCTCACGGTTCATGGGATAGAGGCCTGTGTCGGGCTCTGTGCTGACAGTGCGGAGCCGGCTTAGGATTCTCCCTCTCCCTCTCTCTCTGGCCCTCCTGCTCTCTCTCTCTTAAAATAAATAAATAAAAACTTAAAAAATATATATATATAAAAGAATCCAAAAAAGTCTAAAGGTTCTACTTACACTTTTTAGGTGCATTTTGTAGAGGGAATTTCAAGCCTTAGCTGGGCCTAAGAACCTCTTTGTCCCAAGTGATTCTTGCTTTTGGAGTTCCCATTCAATTAAACATATTAAACTGCAACCACATCCCAAATTAAATATAATTTTGCTATTAATGTTAAAATCTTTGTAAAATATCTACAGTTTTAAGCTCTGTTGATAAAAAAATTCATTATTCGTAACAAGTACGAAGGTAGGTACATAAACTACCTGTATATGTGTAGGTTGCAGTTCCTATGTAACACATTGCAAACATTTAATTGAATATTTATTAGTTTACACTGTGCCATTTTCAAGCATTTTCAGAGGCATTGAAAGTCGGTGGCCCCTAGCACTTTGCTAGGCAACTCAATGAGTAATGTGTGGCATAGAGGTATTCATAACTTCAGGATCGTGAAAATCTTGGGCTATGTTCTCTCCTTCACAAATAAAGACTGCAATGTGGCTTAGATGCTATGGATCGTGACAGTGGGCATAGATTTCACACAGATCTGCAGGATGAGCAAATACTCAGATCAATAATTCAATTCAGTAAGTGTCTGGGAGTTTATTACCAGCATGTGCTTAATACAGTAAGAGTTGACAGAGTATTTATATCTCAATTCAACATCTCCTTACCACCCACAGGCAGGGAAGATATGCATATCAAAAGTAATGCTATTGAAGGAGGCTGACTGTTAGCACAGAATTAGGAGCCCAAATGCTAATGGAGCCCTTCATTCTGCCTGGATGTGGGAGGGATCTAGAAACTTTTCTCAGAGGAGTTGATATCCGAGTTGTGCGTTGAAGAATAAGAAGGGTTTTGACAGATTAAGAGGAAAGAAGGGGGAAACATAGATGAGGTGCTAGTTGCCCTAACTGTCTGCTGAATTGTTAGAAAGGCGAGGCTCGTGCCTGGGAAACAGAGCAGGACGGGTGAGGACTGAATCTACACCACATGGGAGGTAGTGACTGTGGGTGGTCAGGAAGAGGGAGATGCTTGTGTGAGTCCAGAGCAGTGAAGACACGTTTTGTGGAGGAGACAGGACTTGAGTTGGACCTTGAAGGGTTGCTAAGGTGTGTGTAGGAAAAGAGGAAGAAGCAGGAAATTCCAGGGTGGAGATGGGAAAAAGTTGGACAGAGCCAGGAACAGGCATGTGCAGGATGCTGAGACCAGAAGGTTGGCGTCCTTGGAGTCGCAGGTGATTCTGAAAGATCTGGAGGACAAATGCTTCTTTATAAGTATGAACCCAAATTAGACAAGAACCCACCTTCTTTGAGATGAGTTGAGACTGAGTCATCATAACAAATTTTTGATCAACAGGCCAAGTAATCTGTTTCATTTAATACTTAATAAACCCATGGTGATGACTAATTTCTAGAGCAGGAACTGGCAAGAACACATGCAAAGACAGCCGAGTCTCACTGGGAGAGAAGCCGAAATGAGTGTGAACATGAAGATGACACTACCAGACTGTGGTGCTCCCGAGGCTATAAATCCTAAAGACAGGGTGTGCCAGGCAATTGCAGGAAGAAGGAAAGAGGATGCTGCCAGATGGCCTGGGATACGGGCGTGTAATGCCAGAGCCTAGGCCAGTGGTTCGGAAAGTGATTGAACTGATATTTAGGTGATTTCAGAACATTTAAAGTTGAGTGTACTTGGGGTGTGTCCTCCCATTAGCTCAAGGGCAGGAGTACATGAATTATGGGATGTGTGCACTTCTCTACTCCCACTCTTTACGCAAGGAGCATTGGTTGTGTCCCTTCTGTGGGCCAGACACTGTGTCACGCATCCAGGACCGGGCTAGCATGATCCTTGAGAGCCCTAGTGAAAGAGGAAGTAGACATGGAATGCTCCATACCTTCATCCCCAGATTACACTATAGTAGAGTTCTATTAATCATCCTAGACCATACAAGAGAACCACCATGAAATAATGCCATCCTTTAGTAGCAGATGGCCCTTCCAAAGAGCTCATACTACAAGCCACTGGGGCAACTGTGAGCTCTTCCAGTCAGCTTTCAAAGAAGAGTGTCCAAATAATACTTGATAAGTAGCAGAGTTGAAGAATTCTAGTAGAATTCTTAACTTCCAGGGACGGACTGTCCCCGGAACACTCCGCTCAGCTCCAAGGTGAGGACCATGGGGCTACACTCACGCTCACAAACACATCATTGCTAAAGAGAACAAAAGTTGATACTTACAGATGCTTCCGTGCAGCTGACCACTTGCCTGAAGGCCCGGTTGTAGCGGTAGCAAACCGCGGGCTCTTGGTGGGAAACCACCAGGGAAGGCTCCGGGGGAGACCTTACTCATGAAAAACAGAGAGAGGATGAGAACCTGAACCAAGTGTAGGACACGGATACCCGGGATGAGGCATCTATTGCCTTATGGAGAAAGGTTAAGAGGATAGAAATGAGTCTGTGACCTTGGACACGTTGTTTAACTGCTCAAAACTCTTTCTTATCTCTTAAATGGGGATAATGGCATCTACTTTAAAGGGCTGTTTTGAGAATTAGATGAGAAGATTCATATAATGTCCTTCCCAAAGACCCTCACATGGCATAATTGGTATTCAATGAGCAGCAGCCACTAATCATGAAAACTGACACCACATGTCTCCTCCTTGGGGCAGGAGGAATGTGATGTCTTTTTTTTTTTTTTATTTTTTTTTTCAACGTTTATTTATTTTTGGGACAGAGAGAGACAGAGCATGGACGGGAGGGCAGAGAGAGGAGACACAGAGATGTAGCAACCAGGCTCCGGAGCCATCGGCCAGGAAGCACAATGTGGGCTCGAACCTCACGGATCACCTGGTGAATCACGGATGTTAACCCGACTGCACCAGCAGCCCCAGAGGAATGTGATTTCATTTAACTATGGACCTTCTTTGCTATTAATTTACATCTTCCCCCTCACCCCCTCGCAGCTAAATATCAAGCTGTTTATCCCGTTTCAGATCTTCAAGCCTGAAGAGCAGCACCTTTCATTCAAGCAGGGACAAGGCTCCTTGCAGTGTCTGCGATGGCAACCAGGGGCCAAGGGCTTACCTGTGTCCTCCAGCCTTGCCCCATGAGCTACCTCTGGGACAACAGCACACAGAACAGACAGTTGTAGGGGTTAAGCAGTCCAACTGTTCAGCACTAATGTCCTCATCTGTAAGTGTGGACTGCTGAATCCATTTAGTAGAAATAGTGGGGTGCCTGGGTGGCTCAGTTGGTTAAGCACCTGACTCTAATTTTGGCTCAGGTCATGATCTTATCAGTTCACTGAGTTTGAGCCCTGCATCCAGGTCTGTGCTGGCAGTGTGGAGCCTGCTTGGTACTCTCTCTCTCTCTCTCTCTCTCTCTCTCTCTCAAAGTAAATAAATAAACTTAAAAAAAAAAAAAAGAAATTTTGTGAGGAGTGAGGAAAAGGATGTAAAATGTCTGGAGAAGCCTGGCATGCAGTGAACACTCAATAAATGAATGTTGGTTCCCAGTACCGCTGCTCTGCCTTCTCTCTTGATTGTCCCTCCAATGCCCGGGTTCCAAGGCTGGGCCACTAGAAGAGGTTCAGTGGGTCTGAAACCTCCAACTTCGTGCCAGACTATTCCCAGTGTGTGGAATCCTTTCCAAGGAAAAATAACATTTGACAGAAGGACGATTTGCACTTTCCCATGAATGGTCTCTGGACTCCTGTGATGGCAGAGTCTTGCCTGGGGCGGGGAGGAGGAGGGAAGGGTGTGTGGGGCACAGTCCCAGAGAGAAAGCGCCGGGCCTGTAGCCAGAGCCTACTGGCTTTACCTACATCCCTTCCCCAACGCGGGGTGCAAGGCGCTGAGTCTCCCCGCTTCGCAGGTGGAACCACCAGAAGGCTGAGAAGGGCCAGGTCACTTGATCAAGATCACAAAGCTCCCAAGCGACAGAGCAGGGACCGGCAGACATTATCTGGCACCTAAGTGTTGGCGCTAGAGACGGAGTCTGTTTTTGCCACGAGGTGGAATTTCCGTCTCTTCGCTTAAAAAAAAAAATCCAACAGGCTGTTTTTCTACACACTGATACCATGTAGAACAAACAGCCGCCTGATTGACGGAAGTCCCGCTTTTCGGCCAGTTGCTCTGGCATTTTTTTTTTTCAACGTTTATTTATTTTTGGGACAGAGAGAGACAGAGCATGAACGGGGGAGGGGCAGAGAGAGAGGGAGACACAGAATCGGAAACAGGCTCCAGGCTCCGAGCCATCGGCCCAGAGCCCGATGCGGGGCTCGAACTCACGGACCGCGAGATGGTGACCTGGCTGAAGTCGGACGCTTAACCGACGGCGCCACCCAGGCGCCCCTCGTTGCTCTGGCATCTTGAGCAAAGTGCCTGCTCTCCCAGGCCTGGCTGTGACGATGACCGGGTGGGAGTTCTGCCAGGCGCTCTGGATCCACGGGCGACTTCCCCGTGGCCTCAGGGGGGCAAATTAGGAAGGGTGGGTACAGACACGGGCAGCGGCCATACACGCTGGACTTTTCAGTAGAGTTCTGGTGCTGTGAAATCTGATCGCTTTTCTGTAGAGTTAATTCTCGATCTGTGGTTTAGTCACTGAACACAATAAAGGTTCTTCCTAGACATATGTTCACAAATCAAAAAAAACAGAACACTTTTCGAGACCGTATGCCATCATTTTTGGCTCAGGAAATCCATTTGCCATTTTCATATAGATGGGATGTGACACCTGCAAACCGCGGTAGCCAGCCTAAACCTTCCCTGCCTCCTTTCCTTGGTTTTCAAAGACTGCAGATTTGGGATTCGGGATCCTGCTGAACACCGAGGGGGAAACTGCAGGCAGAGAATGAGGGATGGCGGGGTGGGGGGAATAGCCAGGGGCCAGGTCGGAACCACGAGAAGGCTCTAATGACGTTCCGAGGGCCCGTCACTTCTCAAAGCACTGGCAGTGCGCCTGGCCAGCCCTGCTGAGCCCGGGGAAGACGTCTGATCTACCTCGAGACAACTGGGCCCAGGGAAGCTCTCTACCCCCGACACGTGCCTCTTAGGAGCATCTGAGAGAAGCCTCCCTGCGGGCTCTGGAGAAGGAAGACTAGACAATGTGCTTCCCATTAATAATAAGCACTGAGCTCTCCTTCCCCTTCGAAATCTCAGACAGACTTTTGCCCTTGCAGTGGGAGGAGCACCACACAGGGAGGAGGCCGGGTGCCAGGCATCCGGAGAGGCGGTCTAGCCCCAGGTCTGCTCCAGACTCCCAATTCATTCCCTTCTCCCGGCCTCCGTCGCTCATCTGTAAAACTACAGCCTTGTGCTAGGTGACTCGTGGGTCTCCGGGAGGCGGGACTTAAACTCTTCAGGAAGACCAGGCAGTCTCAGCCCAGGCAGGCCAGGGGCGGGCCCTGGAGGGGACATTCGGCGCTAAGGGGAGGATTGTGTGAGTGACCTCCCTGACCGTGGAAAGGGCAGCCGGGACCCACTTTCCTGGCCGAGGAGGAAATGACAGGTGGCCTGGCAAAGGGGTGCCGAGGCAACCGAGGCGGCCTCGTTTGTAGAGGAATCAGGGAGACAAGTCTTCAAGGCATTTAAGGGCCCTGGGCAGGAGAAGCCTGCTAGGGGACCCTCCACAAGGACCCGTCTCATCACCTGGGACTGCATAGCTACCCTGCTGTAGGGATGGGGTCTCAGATGTGGGCCTCCAGGGCTTCCTGGACAATTTCCTATAGACGTAGAGCCAGTGGGTCGATAAGGGCTCGAGAGGTAAATTCCAGACTTGTGGATAACATAGGGAGGTGGTGCTGGAGTGATTAATGGGAGCTGTTAAAGGGAGCTCACCAAACACATAGTGCAAGATAAGGACGTGGGGCGTAGAGCTGAGGAGGTCACCCAGAGGCCTTAACTGTGGATCGTGATATAAAAGGTTGCAGGCAGCTGCACTGGGCTCGCCGTGCCCTCTAGACAGCTGACGGCTTGGGGCCAAGAGGGTAACCTCATACCTGAGTCGCAGGTGCAGGGGTGCAATCGTGTCGGTGGCCACACGCAGGGCCGTGGGGTGGGGGAGATAGAGGCAGGCCGCGCCCTCCCCCTGGATACCACTGGCTTTGGAGGAGGCCGTAAACGAGCGGCTGTCTGTTTCCAGATCCCAGATCTGAGGAGGAAATGAGGAAAAAGTCACCGGAGGTCGTGAACCGGCTGCTTTGCTGTGTTTCCGAAGCCGTCACCTGGGGCAGGGGTCTGGTCAGGACTGACGGAAGTTTACACGCTGCCCTGCCCCCACTCACCAAAAGGAAAAAGGGTGAAAGGGGCTTCTTGTCCCCCGTTGTTTGTAAAGGAAGCAGAAAGCGGGGCCCTTGTCCCTGAGCCCCTCTGCCATGCTGAAGCTGCCCACGGAGCAGGGATGCCAGAGGCCAAGCCACCATAGGAGCGGCCAGTGGCTTCTCTTCCCGTGGACCGGCTGAAGCAGGAGCTCGACATCGTGGGTCACATTTGGGCACAGAGCTACCCCCGTCTCCCAGATATGTTCCCATTCCTTAATGCAGTTCTTCCATACCAGCCACTGGGGAGATATTTGGAGCACTCAGGGAACAGACCTCAGCGTGGTTATTGGTTAAGGGCATGGAGGTCCGGAGCCCCCCTGCCTGGGGTGGCCTTGGGCAAATTACCACTCTCCCTTTCCCTCAGTTTCTTCATCTGTGAAATAGGGAGACTAATAATAGTGCCTATCTTATAGGACTTTAAAGTCTTAGGACTTCTTAAATATTAACAAAAACAGCGTTTAGGATCATGGCTAGGCCACAGTATAACGGTATGTGATTACAACGCTAATATTATTGTTAATCCTTTATTACGATTATTGCATAAAGTCATGCCACGGCTCTTGTGTTATTTTAAGGTGATCTGATGAGAGCTGCAAGGGAGGGCTCACTCCCTGGGGAGGAGCAGATGGGCCAAGTGCAAAACTGGGAAGACAGAATCATCACGAAGGCAGCTGTTGCTTAGTGGGCTGGCATGCGCCAGGCATTGTGTTAAATGCTTTCCGTGCGTCGTTTCATCTACTCTTTGTTAGGGGCTGAGTTGCGTCCCCCCCAGAACTCGTATGGTGAACAACCCCCAGTATTTCAGAATGTGGCCTCATTTGGAAATAGGGCTGGAGTCTGGCGCGACGAGCAGAGATAAGTCACGCCTCAGACAATTTGACTGCCGTCCTTGTAAGAAGGGAGAATTTGGAGAGAGATGCACCGAAGGGGAGAGTGTCATGTAAGATGAAGGCAAGTATCAGGGTGACGCTTCTATGAGGCAAAAATGCCAACAGTTGCCAGCGAACCCCCAGCAGCGAGGAGGGAGGCAGTCTCTCCCTTCAGTCTCGGAAGGGACCAGACCTGCTAATACCTTGATTTTAGACTTCCGGCCTCTAGAACTGCGAGACGAACCTTTCCATTCTTCAAGCCACCCAGCTTGAGGTATTTTGTCACAAACTAATTTGATCCGAAACCAACTTTGGGAGGTAGGTATAATCCACCGGGTTCCGGCGAGGTTCAGTGACTCTCCTGACGCAGACCTAGTGAGCCGCTAAAGTAGGAAAGAGCCCATCTTAGGCTCGTCTCCCGCCAGAGCTGCGCTGGAAAATCTGAGGACTAAGCTGGGTGGGATGTACTTGGATGGGGCTTCTTTCCCCCACTTTGAGACTCCAGGAAGCAAATCAGCTATCAGGAAATTTGAAGCCTTTACCCCTTAGGCCAGACTCTTATTTGTTGTGTTTATACTGTTAGTTTTCCTTAGTTCTCCCCAGTAGGTAGCAAACTCACTTTGAAAGTTCTAGCCTGCTTTTTTAGCTGTGATTTTTAGGTCATGGCATGAAAGGCAGGAAGCAATACACTTTGGGAGGTCAGTCTCGGGGTGACAATAGTGATCAAAGTAAAATAATCCCATGGAAAAGATGATCTCAGGCCCTTCTTGTTCAAGGGATGTCCCCCCTTCCTTTCTGGAGAACTAAATTGTTTGAAAGCGCTTATTTTCCTGGATAGAAAGGTAACACACGGTCACTTAAACCACAATAGGAATCCATTTATCTAGTAATTTCTTCTTACTTCATGAGATAATGTTACTGAGAGAGAGAAGGTTTTGATGAGGACAAAAATAAGGTAATTCTGGAGCCTGGCAGAGGGATCTTAGTTGGAATGCTATAGAGGGACCCCTACAAGGTCTGTGAAAGGGAAAGGTAGGAAGGAATTCTTCACACTGCTGTTGTCATTGATTCAGCAAGTTGGCATTAAATCCCCAAAGTAAAAGTAGCTACAACAAATTCGTATCACTGACCTATCCATGGTCTGTCCAGCACCCTCCTGTCTTCTGTTAGGAGAACTGCCTCTCTGATTATAAGCAGTAGACATGGGACGGACCCAAGCCTGGTCAATCTGTGTCTTCCCTTAGATTTTTCTGTCTAGAACTGATAGTGAATCTGGAATTGGGTTGTGGGTTTAGACTGGCCATCAATGGTCCCAGCCATTTGGAAGGAGAAAACCTTTCTGCAGTAGGAGTCAATATCAGTGTGCACGAAGGAGCAGAAATTCGTAGCGCAGGCAGAAAGTGTAGAAATAACAGTGCTGTGTTTGAACCCAGCTGCCTGTGAGGCCACCTGTCTGATGATCAGGTTTCAATAACCAATAAATTCTCCCTTTTTAGCTTAAACTGTTTGAATTAGATTTTTGTCTCTTTGGCCTAAAAGAGTCTTAACTGGTAAAACTACTCTGTGGTGAGCACAGTTCATACCTTATCTTTTATGAGCACAACTAACCTACGAGGTGGGTCATTTTGCAGAAGAGTGACCAAAGTCCAAGAGAATTAAGAGTGACCAATGACCAAGAGAATTAAGAGTGACCAATGTCCAAGAGTTTAGCAAGATTGAATCCTTCACCCAAGGTCACTGAGTTTCTGGTAGTTTCAGAGTTTAAACTCAAGTCTGTATTTCTCCAAAGCATTCTGTACCCCACCCCCAAATGCACACTTCTCTGTCCACACTGGAAAGGTGTTTCTGGGGAATGGCCACCAAAATAAGGCATTTCCTGGTTTCCCTTTCACCCAGAGTTATGAACTTCACAGTAGAGTCTGAAAGAAAGTGATGGGTCATTTATGGCTGGGGTTTTAAGAGGCAGATATGCGTTATCTGCTCTCATGCCCATCGCCCCAGGATGAAGAAGACTCTGGGAGTCTAGGACCCCACATGAAGACAGCCTAGTTCTTGAATGGGAGAAAAATGCCCCTCACCAGGAGCACTGGCCTTGGGTTATGAAAACAAACAGGAATAACCTTCTGTTGTCTCAACCTCTAGAAAATATGGGGTTTATTTGTTACAGTGGCAAGCCTTACCTCAGCTGATACACCGTGCTATCTTCCTTCCAAGAAATAACTTTCTTTCAAGAAATAACTTTTCTGTACTGATTCCTGTTAACACAAAACAGCCGTCTTTGTGGTGTGCAATGTTAAATTCACAGAAAATAACAAGTGAAAACAGAAAACCGAACCTGTCACTTTACTCTCCTTTAGAGTAATGCCAGAAACCAGCAGACTCCTGAAACGTTCCATGTGTCCCCATGATTTAGAGAAGTGAAATATTTGGGCTGAAAAATCAATTCAAAGAACGAAGACCATCTGATCAGGCATGCTAGAAATTTAGCTGTTTGGTTCCTGGTTGATTACTTTTTATTTGATAGGAATAATGTATTCTGAAATAAATTACACACCATATTTCCAAGATAGGATTTCAATATATTTTAAACACATTTTGGGAAGTGATTCAATATGCCTGAATCATCACAGGCAAGATGCTAATCTTGTAATCATGATTTTAGATTGGAAGAAAATGGAGAGGCACTAGGAAAAGAAAATAGGATAGAAGACGTGTTCTTACATACAGAATTATGATTATCTGATGGTGCCAAGTTTTGAGGAAAAAAAGCTCATTAAAAATATGAAGTCTCCAACTTTGTGGCTTTGAGGATGCCTTTGGATGGATCTGATTTTCAAAATAAATCAAAAACTGAAGTCCATAGGTTTTACCATTTTAATCAAATTTTCTTGGAGGACTGAATTGAGTTTGGGTCCTGGTTGCATCACGACCTGTGATGTCAACAATTAATTTTATGTAAAATGTCCTCATTGCTGCCATGAGGTGGACTCTAAGCTCACTATACAGGAGCCATATTGGATCCTATCAACATGGCAGCGTCCCTGTGCTCAGTCTTTGAGGCTTTTCTCCCCATTGCCCACTCTTGTTCTCTTTTCTATTTCATCCACTCCATGGCTTAAAATTTCATCTAAATGCTAATGAATTCCAAATTTATATCTCCAGTTCTGACTTTTCCCCTCCACTCAGGATGACTCTATCCAACACATCTACTACTGAGCTCCTGGTCAGGCTCCTTCTACACACTATCTGCCCTGCCTCAGTTGGGTGGGGCCCAAAGCCTTGGTGTCCCCCTTGACTCCTCTTTCTCTCTCCTCTCCCCCTCCTTTAAAAAAAATAATGGTTTTATTGAGATATAATTTACATCACACAAAATTCACATTTTTAAAGCGTATAATACAGGGGTTTTTAGCATATTCACAGAGTTGTGCAACCATCAGCATTGTTTAATTTCAAAAAATTTTCATTACTTCGAAAAGAACCCCCATACCCATTAGCGGCCACTCCCTATCCCCTCTCCGCCCTCCTCCCTGCAACTACTGAACAAGTTTCTGTCCCTGTGGATTTGCCAATTCTGGACATTTCACATAAATGGGATCATCCAATACATGGCCTTCTGTGACTGGCTTTCACTTAACATAAACTTTTCAAGTTTCATCCATGTTGTAACACATATTAGTACTTCATTTCTTTTTGTTTCTGAGGAAAAGTTCATCGTAATGATATGCCACGTCTTGTTTATCCACTTATTAGTTCATGGACATTTGGGTTATTTCTACTCTCTGGCTATTATGAATAATGTTGCCCTGAATATTCATAGTAAGTGTGTGAACATAAGTTTCCAATTTTCCTGGGTGTAAATCTAGGAGTAGGATTGGTGGGTCATAAGATAATTCTATGGCTAATGTTTGAAGAACTGCCAAAATGTTTTCCAAAGTGGCTGCACCATTTTAAATTCCCACTAACAATGTATGGAGGGCTCCGATTTCCCTGCATTCTTGCCAACGCTTGTTATTATCTATATTCTTATTTTAGCCATCTTAATGGGTATGAAGTGGTAACTCACGGTGGTTTTGTTTTGCATTTCCCTAATGACTAATGATGTGAAGCATCTTGTCATGTGTTTATTGGCCATTTGAATATTTCTTTGAGGAAATTTCTGTTCAAGTCCTTTGCCCATTTTTAAATTAAGCCATTTGTGTTTTTATTATTGAGCATACAGATTTTTTGGTATTCCACGTGCAAGTCCCTTGTTAGATGCGTGATCGGCAAAATTCTTTCCCATTCTGTAGGCGGTCTAATCATTTTCTTAATGGTGTCTCCTGAAGTTTTTAATTTTGATGGCGTCCAACTCATTTTCTCCTTCTTTCTGTCTCTTGTGTTTTTGATATCATATCTAAGAAATCATTCCCTAGTCCAAGGTCATGAGGACTTACTCCTATGTTTTCTCCCAAGAGTTTTGAAATTGTAGCTCTTTTTACATTAGGTCTATGGCCTATTCTGAGTTAACTTTTTTTTTTTTAATTTTTTTTTTTCAACGTTTATTTATTTTTGGGATAGAGAGAGACAGAGCATGAACGGGGGAGGGGCAGAGAGAGAGGGAGACACAGAATCGGAAACAGGCTCCAGGCTCCGAGCCATCAGCCCAGAGCCTGACGCGGGGCTCGAACTCATGGACCGTGAGATCGTGACCTGGCTGAAGTCGGACTCTTAACCGACTGCGCCACCCAGGCGCCCCCTGAGTTAACTTTTATATATGGCGTGCGCTTAGGGATTAAACTCCTAGGTTGAGGTGTCGGCAGGTTTGCTTTCTTCTGAGGCCTTGCTCCTCGGCTTGCAGATGCCCACCTTCTTGTGGTGTCCTCCCATGGTTGCTCTTCCTCTAAGTGTGCTGATTTCCTCTTCTTAGAAGGACACCCATCATATTGGATTAGGGCCCATCAATATAGCCTCACGTCACTTCATTACTTCTTTATAGGCCCCGTCTCCAGACATAGTCACATTGTAAGGCACTGGTGGTTAAGACCTCAACGTGTAGATTTTGAGGGGATATGATTCAGCCCAGAGCATCTGTAAATCATTTATAATGTGAGTGGTCAGTGAACTGGTTTATGTGTCTATACTGACCAGTCATACTGACTTGCCTGAGGCTCCAGGAGTTCTTTGACTCAGACTGCTCTAAACTCCCACCCTCTGGCCCCATGAGAGAAAAAAAAAAAAAGGATGAAAACTTTTCATATTCTTTGGGAAAGCATACGAAATGATGGAAAAAGCAAATCAGTGAACTTTCTTTCTTTCTTTCTTTCTTTCTTTCTTTCTTTCTTTCTTTCGGTAGAAAAGCAACGCATTACAAAGATCACAGGGGCAACTGAATTTTAGAGGTAGATGGGACCCTAGGTATAGAAGTACAAAAAGAGGTATGAAGGCAAACAAAATGAAAATGGTAATATCACTGCTTCTAAAGGACTCTAAGTGTTTAAATCCTAAGCCTTACAGACAACATTTCAGAAAAGGCCCACCTGCCCTATGTGTATCGCACAATAAGATGACCAATAGTAGCAAGGGACTGCTGCCTCCCCCGTGTCCCCATTCTGTCCCCTGCTCCTCCTCTCCATCCTCCAACATACATTCTCCCGGGGGAATCAGGGCAGCATGCAAACGGGGGCTGAAATGCCATAAGGTTTGCTCATCCCAACAAAACACCAGGTATAGAAAATTTTCTAAGAGACTACCCTTCCATTGCCCACGTATCTTCTTTTTCCAAAACAAATCCTGCTAATGTAACTACCATTTGAGTATCTGCTAATGCAGAGGCCTCTGAAGCTGAAGAGGGGAAAGAAAACAGGAAAAGAACACATTCATTGTCTATAGGAAACTGTTGGACAATGTATCAAAACATAAAAGGGCAAAGACCTTAATAGTGTTGTCCGAGGACCTGGAAGATATTTCGTTATCCTCAGCAGATGCATGGATGTCGATCACTGGAGCTGTGTGGCTTTTCAGCGTACCTGTTGGTTTTCTGGAATGAAAAAAGAACAGATGAACACCAAGCAGTTCTAAGCGCTGTTTCTAAATAAAAATGCAAGACTAAACTTGGTCCGGATCTGGCAGTTCTATTCAGCCTGGAGGAGGGTTACGTCTCCTTCTGAAATCACGCAAGTATATATCTTGTGTGATAAAAGGACTGAAGCAAATAATACCCAGTTACAGCAACACAACTCAGTGCGAGTTGAAGCCCTGGGCTTTGTTTCACCGACTGCTGACAACATCACTCTAAAAGGAATAACAAAGAATGGCACAGGGTGGGGCTGGAATAGATCCTGTGGCAAGTTGTTGCTTTATGCAGGCCAGAGTTAACAGTATTCAGCTCTAGGGGGAATGTCTTTTTGATATAAGTTTATTTCAAGGAACTCTGAGGGATCAAGGTGCCCTCAGGGTCGCAGGGCTGGGTGTGTAGTGAGAGGGTGGGAGGTGGGGAGAAGGGAGGCAGGGCTGAAATGGAAGGGGAGAGCACACTATCGTTTTATAACCAAGTCCCTGGAAGGTAAGTGGATTGTTCCACGTCAGCAGACAAATGGGCGCCTAAGGTAATAGAAGTGGGTAGAAAAAATCATTTTTCTTTCTCTCTGATTAGGCATCTGACCTTGTGCTGGGCGCTATACGTGGATGACCCCATCAGTAATCTTTATTACTGCTGGAGGGGTAGGTACTCTTGGGATCATCATTATCGAGGAGGAAACCAGCAGAACCCCTTGAGCAGGATCACTTGGCTACCAAGTGACAGGGACAGAATCAGATCCCTCATGCCCACCTGCTCCTAGCGCTGCCTCCACCACTGCCTGTTGTTGCTGAGGGGCATGGGTCGCCTTTCAGATCCTCCACTGACGCCTGATACAGAGGCTCGGGGAGGAAGCTTGGGGCGCCCTAGAGGACCTGTTCTTGTCCCCACATCCCCACCATTAATGCACGAGAAGACTCCTCCTTATTTTCCACTCTCCTTCCATCTTCAACACTTACCAGTGGAAATGATATAGGCTTTTAGAATCAGCCAAAATGCATTTGAACCCAATTCCGGTGTTATTTCCAAAAAGTTAAACTCCTCTGAGCTTCCGTGTTACCCCGTTGGTAAATGGGGCCAGGGAGTGGCTGGGGCGCCTGGGTGGCTCAGGTGGTTAAGCATCCAACTCTTGGTCTTGGCTCAGGTCATGATCTCGCAGTTCGTGAGTTTGAGCTCCACATTAGGCTCTCTGCTCTCAGCACAGAGCAAGCTTCAGATCCTCTCTCTCTCTCTCTCTCTGCCTCGCTCAAAATAAATAAACTTAGAAAAACGGGCCCAATGATTTGCTTATTAATCCCCAAGAATGAGTCCCTAGTGGCCACAAATAGGAGTTTCCCAGGCTGTGTGCGTGCGAGATCAATGTCAGGCAGGGGTTCTTAAATTATCCTAAAGGGGAATTGGCGATCCCCTGTCCTGCTCTCAGGTACTTTACTAGATCAATGGCACTCTTGGTTGGAGAAAGAAAACAAACTCACCCAGGCAGATAAGGATTCCAGACTCGAATGATTCGATCCATCCCACCTGTCAGCAGCAAGTTCATTCTTTCATTTACAGAATGAAAATGCCTTGACTCCTCTGTAGATGCGAAAAACGGTTTGATCCCATTCTGCTCGCCTTTGGGGCAAACCAAGGAACGCTTGGTGTCTTCTTGCCTCAACATCTTTTCTAACATCCCTTATCCTTTCATCTTTTGCTTGACATTTGTTGTTCCCACAGTGCGACCTAAAAATATTCACAGAAAAACAAAACACAGCCTCTTAATACGATCAATTTTCTGACGAGTTGCTGATTTTGAAAGTCCCGCTTTTGCTTTCAGTGAGGACTACTTTTTCTTCCTCTTTCACCCTCTGGTGTTACACCATGGATCATCTGAAGAATGAAAATGATTTCTGTAAGAACGTCAAGATTCATTTCCCCTCCTTCTCTAGAGAGAGACAAGAAGGGTCACCTGGAGGAAGGAGGAAGTGTGAAGAAGGCCAACTCATTCTGAGGTGGGTAACCCAGCTTTTAATAAATCTCTGCTGAGCACCAGGCAGTATGCCAGGGTCTCGCCATCCATGATTTTATTTGAACCTCACAGAAACTCAGTGAGGCAAGCACCTTTACCTCCAGGGTACAGATAAGAAAACTTACACCTTTGGGATGTTAAGAAACTTGTCATTAAGAGAGCGATGAAACCAACATCTTCAACCCTAAATCAGAGCTCATTAAGGCAACCTACCCGTTTCATCCACCAACCAGCCAACTTTTTCCTACAATTATTTTGACATATTTTTAGTCAAATGACTTTTTGGCTTATGAATCTACTAAACAGTAAAATCAAAATAGTAGCATCATCCAGAAGCAATCAAAGGCCTTCATGTGGTGTCAGACATCAGTTTCACCGGGAGATCACGAAGGAACTCTCCATCGAGCTTACCCTGACCTCCGACCTCGGCTGTGTCCAAGGTGGCCGAGGGGCCTTGGATGAAGAAGGTCGAAGAATATTTCGTCTTCAGCCTCCCCTTGCCCCCACGCCCAAGTTCATCTCGGAGGGCGGTGCTATTTCAGTCCAGCAGACTCTCCCGAAGTAGGACTCTGATGCAGGTCTGCTGAGTTTCGGGAGAAATGGGAAATCTTTATTCTCACTGGAAAACTTCCAGAATTTTAAATGCTGGTGCACAGTTTCAAAACATGTTTTAAATCCGTCTGTGGTTGCTTCGCCCATTGCTGTCTCTGAAGGCCTCCGGTTTAGGAACGTGTTGGTGTGGGGAAGACAGGAACGTATCTAGGAAGGGGAAGGGGGCCGCCATCTTTCCACTCCTTCTGAGCCCTTTTCCCTCAGTCACCTGGCCACTCTTCAGTCCATGAACTCCATTTGCAAATGACCGGGGTATGTGATTTCCACCTTCTTTGGGGCTGCGGTCTGGGCGCCGGGACAGTTTACTGATGGTGAGTTGAGGTCACAACCTTGCTGCCCGTGGTTTCTCCCAGCACTGGCAAAGAGCTGGCTTGGGTAGGGTACCTTGCTAGTCTCTCTGGCCCTGTCCTTCCCTTCCTCCTTTGGTAAGCAGCAGGAAGGTAAACAGTCTTGAACCCAGGGCTCTTTCATCTGCTAGACAGAGGGGAGGGGAGGGTGAGTGCTGAGTGCAGATAATTACTTAAGACGGGAGAGCGGAGGTGCGTATCTGGATGAGCACCTGAAGTATCAAAGCCACGCAGCAAACCCCCCTCAAACACCAGTTTGACACCTTCACCCGTCTTGTTATGAGCAAAGATCTGAAACTTCTAAGCAGGTGTGTCATTTTTTTTTTAAGTAGAGGGAGAGCAGCCAGTTCATTTGCATGATCTCTAGCAGTTCTTTTCCAACACAGCCAGACAGAGATACATGTTTAAATGGTCGTCATGGAAACCAGGGAGCATAGCTCTCCCCCAAGGTCTGAAGGAAGGATGGTGAAAAGTTTAAAGCAATCACCATGGAAACCTAGAGCAGATTCAAGGCAGGTTCAGATCCCTAGCACACTAACTAGCAAATAAATCTTCAGGTGCTGGAATCCTACAGGAGGGTAGATTCTATGCTTCTAGCACCAGCGCTGACCCAGAAGCCAGGTCTACAGTTATGGGCTCCCAGCATCCTCTGGGGTTGACAGCAAGGTGTGTGTGTTCCCCCAAAGCTCAGACTTTGACTCTTCCTCTTTCGATATGGGTCTTGGAGCCTCTCCTGCACATCCTTCCTTTTATCTTATTCCTCCCTTCCATCAGTTTCCTCAGTATGGTAGGAACCCACAGAACTGCTGTGACAAGTGGATCCCTGCCCAGGTCTGCAGGAGGGAAGACATTCAAGGTCCAGCCTTTGTTTCTCCATAGCTGACCAAGAAGTAACTCCCTTTCATGTTTATTAGTGACCAAAATGAGGGGCGCATGGGTGGTTCAGTCGGTTAAGCATCCAGCTTCAGCTCAGGTCATGATCTCATGGTTCATGAGTTCAAGCCCCACTTCAAGCTCTGTGCTGACAGCTCAGAGCCTGGAACCTGCTTCGGATTCTGTGTCTCCCTCTCTGTCTTCCCCTCCCCTGCTCGCACTCTGTCTCTCTCTCTCAAAAATAAATAAATATTAAAAAAATTTTTAAATAACCAAAACGAAGTCAAGGATTTCTGTCTTCCATCACCTTAAGTAAATGAATGCACTTGAAAGCACCTCCTGTACTACAGAGCCCTCTCTGTAACCCCCATTTAGGGATGGGGAGCTGGTGCTGTAGCCCCTTTTGGAGGAGTGTGCGTGTGTGCGAACGTATGGATACCTGATTGAAGCAGTGATGTGACTGTAGGACACTGTGGGAACATGTTGGGGGGACATGTTGGATGGGTAGATGGAAAGAGAAAACATGCGAGGAACCTGTCACCACAGAATTCTACTTTTCCTGGAGGGCAAAGCTTCAGAGCACCGCGTGGGGAGAGAGAGGTGTGTGGTTTGAATTCTGACCACAAGTAAGTTCATTCAATAAATATTTACTGAGCACCTATTATGTACCAGGCACTAGTCCTAGCACTTGGGACATAACAATGAGCAACACAGATAGAAACCTCTACCTTTGTGGGGCTTACCTTCTGATGGGGGAGGGCAGACCATAAACAACAAACAAGAGATAAATTATATAGTCTAAAGGAAGGAGATGGGATATATAGAATTAGCGAAGGGTAGAGCAAAGTAAGGACGATTGGAAATGCCAGGAGCAGGAGCTGGGCTGTTTCAGGATGTGTATAATAAAGTGGGCAAGGAGGACCTCCCCAAGAGGTGACATCTGAGCAAAGACTTCAAGGAGGCGAGGGAATGAGCAACGTAGACATTTGCAGGGAGAACTTTCCAGGCAGAGGGAGGATCTGGTGAAAAGATCTTAAATATATCCCAGGAGATTGGTATGACTGGGAGGGAGTGGGTGAGGGAGAGAAGTGGGAAACCAGGCCAGAGATGTAAGGGCTGGGTTGACACACAAGGCCCTGGAGGATTTTGGTTTTGACTGTGAAGGAGATGGGGGGCCTGACGGAAGATTTGGATGGATCTGACATCTAGTTTTCCAGGCTCTCTCTGGCTGCTTTGTGGAAAAGAGACCATAGGGGTGGGGTGGAAGCAGGGAGAGTTGCAAGGCTCTTGTCGTAATCCAGGCGAGAGGAGAGAGTGACTCTCACTGGATAGTAGGAGAGGGATTGGGGCAAAGTGGCCAGATCCTGGGCGCAGTATGAAGATAAAGCCAATGGGCTGGCTGTGGGTGGCAGAGAGGGTCAAGGGTGACCACTAGGTTTTGACTGGAGCAACTGGAAGGATGGACTTAGAACCAACTGAGCCGGGGAAGATGGAGTGAGGGGAAGATGTGGATCTGGGTTTGGATTTAATTTTTATGTCTGTGAGACATCCGAAGGGAAAAGTCCTGTACAGAGAGACCCATGGCAACTGGAAATGCCAGACTGAAGTTTGGGGGGCAGAGCTGGGTTAGAGACATAAATTTGGAATCTGACAGCAATGGCGCCGGAGGGCATCGCTGAGGGGCTGAAGGAGATCGAAGAGAGGAAGAGCAAGGACGGAATCCTGGGCTCCAGCCCAGGGGAGGAGAGAAGAGGGGCTGGGGGCCTGGAGCCCAGTGAGAGAAGTGCAGGAAGGGAGTGGGAGCCACCTGTTGCTTTGGGTGCTGAGAGGCCAGTGGGAGGAGCATCCACCCTGCCTTTAGCAGCACGAGGGGCCCTGGTGGCCCTGACAAGAGAGAGTTTGGAAGTGTGGCAGGGACAAAGGCCAGCTTGCTGGGAGCTTGAGACAGACTGGGAAATGAGGCACGGGAAAGAGCTCTTCCTAGGAGTCTCGGAGCAGAGGCTCCCTAAGCCCCACTATTCTCCTCTTAGCACCACGCCAGAGCAAAAAACACAGATGGTAACCGGGGTGAGGAGGGCGCCGACTCTTTCGGTCACAGACTTGTCCAGATCTCTAAAGACACTTGGCGGTTCAGGGTGTAAGGAGCTTTAGTGGCCCCTGCTTTCTGGAACGTGAGAAGAAAGAAGGGATGCACAGGAAACTCATGGCAAAATTAGGGATCTGGGAGTGTGAGCTGGATGAATCTTTAGAACTCACATCCAGCATTTTTGTTGAACTAGAAAGGAAACTGAAGTCTGAGGTCACAGTTCTGTGAGTTGCAGAGCCGGGGGCTAGAACTCAGAGATCCTCATGACGGATTCTTTGCTTCTGTTCTGCACAAACACTCAATTTTGAGCTGCTTCAGTTTCTGAAGGCTGAGTGTTAGTTTCTTAGTATTCCTCTCCATTACAGTTCCAGAAAGCCACAATTTCCCAGTTCGAAGAACGTCTAATGAAAATTCCCAAGAAACTTCTTAACCATTGCACATCTCTTTCTAATGCTTTGGTGATTTAAATGTCGGTGAATCAGAAATGTATAAAGGAAGATTTCCTTGAAAGACAACGTGAGCTCGAAGGCTGTGAATCAGGGGTGGAAGAGGCCTCGGGGAAGCAAGGTGGTATTTCATAGGAGGCTGAGCTCTCAGGCATGACTCATTACTGA